TAGAGAAAAATGAAACTAGAAAACAACTCTGTATTCACGATGACTTTATTCTTCTCGCACCAGTCAATTGTTCCTCTTACGACTCAACGAAACAATTGCTCTTCGATTCCATTTTAGGGGTCATCTCCCACACGAATAACAATCTCCTCCATAACTCCAGCACACTTCTCTTAACTCCTCGGGGACTTACTTCTTGTATATGCTGACAAACACATTAGTCCCTCAAGGGAAACCCACTCCGCCCCTCTTCGGTCGAGGACAAGAAAGGAAAGGGAGCGATGGAGGAGCATAAGAAGAGAGAGCACAGAGCAAATGACAGATTGCTACGACTGTGCATTTTTTCCTTGCAAAGCACAACATAAATTCATGAAAACTCTTCGTTACCGTTTACCAGTTATACCAATTTGGTCAAGATCCCCAAAACGCGGTAGATTACAAGGAGTTTGTTTGTGAAGACATGAGGAAGGGGGGAAGGGAGCATAGGCGAACGGATCCAAGCCATGCAATGGTTCAAGTAGGAAGGAATCGACATATGAGCCACCACAATTCTCATTGGTGCCTCCTCATGATGGCCATCATCATGGTCTAAATGAAGAGGGAAAGAGAGGAACAGGGGTGGATCTAGGTCCAAGTTCTTGAAAAGAAGTCATCGAATAGAGAAATATTGGAGACGAAGATGACGACGCCCACAACATATTTCTACTACTGTGCATTTTTGTTCCTTGCAAACCACAACATATTCATGAAAACTCTTCGTTACCACTTACCAACCAATTACACAATCTGATTGTACGGTGTTGGAGTTGATACGCGTTTAGAGTAAGGGGTAACTGAACAGGGCAAAATCGACTTCTCCTAAACCTTACACATTTACAGTTACTGCAAGGCCACGCGTATCGACTGAAGCAGCATATCCATTGTGGACACTGTGAAGCTGATAATTCTCTCAAATTAGTTCACTCCCTTAACTTACAGTAAACACCTCAGGCAGGCCCTGCATTCCTCTCCACTCAATGGAGAGGCAGGGCGCTAAACATAATACACTGTAATGATAGCTAAAAATTCAGAGTAAAAAAGGAAAGAGAGGAAAAGAACATCTCTCCCCCTAGGTACATTCCGACATTACAAGAAGACCGACGGCGCGGGGTTGACGACGATGTGCCTGAGCGGGTTCGTGACGTCGCCGCCGCCAGCGTGCTTCACGAACTCCGCCGGCGTGAGGAAGTTGCCATGGCAGACGCACACTATCCTCACCTCCTCCCCTTTCCTGTACTTGTAGAGGAAGCCGTCGATCTTCTTGCCGTTGGGGCCGTCCACCTTGGACGAGACCATCGGCATGTCCTCCATCATGCTCTTCCGCAGGTCGCCGGTGCTAGTCGTGCGCATCGTCAGCGACCGGAGGGTCCGCAACGGCGGTTGCTCCTTGACGATGCCGTTCGGCAGCTTCCCGGCCGGAGATGGTGCCGGCGGCGGGAGGGACTTGTTCTGGTTGCTGGCATTGTTATTATTATTATTATCAGAAGATATCTCCATGCTCGATGTGCTCTTCGCCTCAGCGCCATCAGCGCTACCTGCACCAATGCAGGGGAGAAGATGTCACATTTTCATATTCTAACATGTCAATAAAGATTCATATCCCAATGTGTTCTTTTCCGTTTACTAATCGTCAGTGCTTTCCAGTTTTCAGGTAGACAATTCAAATCATATACTTATATTTAGTAGTAGCTGCTCGGATAATGATTAGCCTGAATAATCATACCCTGACGCTACGTAACTGTTAGTAGTGACTAAAAGCTTAGAAACTGCTTAGACACATGCCGTAGAAGGCATCTCTTGAGACCCTAGGAGCAACAGCACGGCTCGAAATAATCCCAGAAATGACATCACCCAAAACAAACGCCCCGAAAAGAACACAACAAATCCCATGCGTACGTAGAAGTATCATCAGGTTGTGCAGAAAAGAATTCCCCATTTCTAATGAATTTGGCGAAAAAGAAAAGCATCGGCTCAGCTAGCGTTCTAACGAATCGATCCCAGTAAATCACAAGACCAAAGCAAGATCCATGGCAAAGAACACTCGACTTGCTAGATCCCCCCTCTGCCCATGCATCTCCTACCAAAAGAACCACGGTAAGCTCGGCATGACACCGACCTGCATGGATCGCCGAGAGCTTGGCAACCAGAACAGGCAGCTGAATGAATAATTCAAGCAAGGGAACGCAATAGAACAGTGGGAATTGCAAGCTTATTGTAGCAAACAGTTCGAGTGGTAGGGAAGCTGATGAAAGCATGTGTATACCTTGCTCCGGCATGCTTGAGGAGGTGTTCCCCTGGTCGACGACGGAGCGGCGGAGCTGGAACGCGCTGGGGTAGAGCGGCTCCTGGGCGTCGTCCCGGCTGCTGCTGCCGCCGGACTTGCCGGAGTTCATGGAGGTGCGGCGCTCGAGGCGCTTGCGCTTGGCCTGGAGGCGCTTGAGGCTCTGCATCTCGCGGCGGCGCCACCGCTCCTCCTCCGTCTCGGTGGGGAGCGAGCTGGTGCGCATCAGCGGCGCCGGCGAGGGCGTGGCGGCGGCGAGGTCGTCGCTGGTGCCCGGGAGCGAGCACATGGCGGCGAGGGAGGAGGAGCGCACCAGCCGCGGCTTCTTGGCGTCCCGGCCGGAGTTGGCGCCGAAGCAGCCGCCCAGGGACAGGCCCAGGCTGAGCTCGACCACCTCGTCGGGCTCGCCGGCGCCGCCCCCCGCCTTGTCCGACGACGAGCCCTTCTCGCCGCCGAACCTGCCCAAGAAGTCCCTCGACGCCATGTCCGTCCGGCAGAGAGAGAGAGAGAGAGCAAGCAATTCCCCGCCGCGAAGCAGACGCCAATCCCTCCTCCCCCCAACCTCCAAGGACGGCCAAATTCTCAGGAAGACCTCGCCATTGCCGCGAATCCGTCCCGCGCCGGGCAATTCTCGGTCTTCAAACCCAGAGGGAAGAACATCACAGCGCCCAGGGAGGAACGAACAATCGACGAGCGCCGGGGAAGCAGAGCCAGCAGAATCGGCGGCAATCAGATCCCTGCGCGCGGCGTGTGGGATCCTCGAGCGAGAGGGGAGGGGGGGAGAGGGGGGATGGGAATGGAGAGGAGAGGAGAAGAGAAGGAGGCCTGCGTGCGTGTCGCTCTAATCTCCTTCGTTGTTAGACTGCTCCCTCCATTAAACCGAAATTGTTTGGAAATGGGAACAGGGGGGAGCTAGTTGGATGGGACTACGAGCGCATGGAGGCCGGCCACGTGTCGGACAGCGGGTACACGTGTTGGATCCCGACAAGCCGAGCCGGCATCGGGCGGCGCGCGGCTCGGCGCGGCTCGGCTCGGTTGGGACCGCGGTTGGTAATGGGAGTACTTGGGGAAGTGTGACGTGTCGAGGCCGCGTAGGGGCGTCTGCCTGACACGTTTCGGGCTTCCGGTTCAGGGCACGGCTCCCCGTGCGGTGTCCCTCCATACTATACTTCTACTAGTATCTTTTTCTATGTCCTACTATTTGTATGATTGTATCTATACGCACCTCCGGTAAATATTGCTGGGTATAAATAATCCTTGCACGCATCAGAAAGGCTTAAACGGCACATTCGTGTACCCTTTACTCAAAAGTGTAGAAAACTAAGAGTTTTTTCCAAAATGGTCAAAGATCACATATTAAATCAAATCAGCATTTACAAAAATATCATTTACGAGCATGAGAAATTACAGTCAAGTCCTTACAAAAATCAGCACCGTTTTCTTAATGTGCCTGTTGAAGACGTGCCGTGAGCAAAGCTCATTGCGGTCTTTGGGCCTCCATCGCAATATTGTTGAAACCGGGGAGCTTGCAGAAGTGATGGTTAAAGCCTGCTTTAATTGATAGGATAGGAATAGTATAGGAATATGAAAATCATAGGATGTGAGATGGCATGCATCTCAATTCCTAAAGAAAAAGACATGTCATTTGATGCATAAGATAGGAATTTTTTCATTAAGTCTAGGCTAATGTTTTTTTTCCTTTGAAATGTGAAGGATTGAATCATATCCTACACAGGAATATGAATCCATTCCTACAAACCATAAGGCTTCAAAGGGATTTTTCCTATGAAGTTTCTATCCTTTACAGTTCCAACAAAATTCCTATGAACCAAAGAAGGCCTAAAAAGTTGCCGATTTAGACCAGCAAGCGTCGTGGTTGCAAACTGGAAAGGTCGTCACCCTGAAGAAGCTAAAACAACGCGAGCTAGAAGATAATCACAACTCCGACCAAACAAAAGAGGGGCATACAAACCTCACAAGTCCTTGGATAGAGTAATATTTGCATTAGGCTTCATCGGACGGAGACGGAACTAAAGAACAAAAACATGCCAAACAACATCCCCTCCTCAGTCATCGAAAATGCTAATAACAACACGATGAGTATTCAATGATTCACGCCATCATCTGACTTGTCGACGCCACACCAAGAAAGGGCATCACATGGGGAAATCCAGGAAGAATTATCCCACTTCGCCGCTGCTGTGTCAAAACCGGCGGATCTCGGGGTAGGGGGTCCCGAGCTGTGGATCGAGGAACAGGAGACAAGGGACACGAGGTTTTACCCAGGTTCGGACCCTCTCGAAGAGGTAAAACCCTACTCCTGCTTGACTATATTGATGAGTATGATTACATGGTCGATCTACCTCGAGGTTAGGCTAGCTAAACCCTAGATGGGAAAGGTAATGAATGAAGCTCTAGCCCTAAAGACTAAAAACCCTTGGTTTATATAGGCACCGAGAGGGTTAGGATTACATGAAGTCGGTTTACAATGAAGGAAATATCACGCAGGCCTTGACTTGGAGGGCACACCATGGCCTCAAAGATCTTCGGCCGAAGCTTCGCTACGGCCCACCAGTTTCGCTCGTAAATCATGGACGGATGCATGAGGACCCCAAGTCCATGACTCCATCAGTAGCCCCCGAACTAGCCTCCAACGCTGGGGATTGTCTTCCGGTATCTCCATATCTTTAGCTTGCGGGGCGAGTTCTTTCGTCGCTTTATACAATTCGAAGCCTTGCTCTCACGCCGAACACTCTCCGGCATCCAGGCCGGTGTTGGGAATTCACTGACCAACGCGACACGCATTGATCACATGCTTGGGCCCGGATAGTTTTATCAATCCAGAATCTAAAGACATCTTGAGATCAAGGTGGGACCGTCGGAGTTTTAATGCATTACCTCTCGGCAAGGGCCAGCCCTGGCCATCGCACGCCTTTTCAGAAGGCGCGCGTCCCAATGTCGTCTTTCCATGGACCCGCCCCTCCAACTTCTAGGCGACATGCCTATTTATAGATCCAAAGGAGCTTGGGACGGTTGACCCACCCCTCTCACAAAAAATAGCACCGAGGAAATTCTTAGGCGCCATGGCCGACCTTCCAGGTTCATCCTCGTGCCCTCATGGCCCACTCCCAGGCGATTTGTCAAGTTGTTCAGTTTCACACCTCCAGTTGAGCCGCTTGCGGACGCAAGGTTATCTTCCCCCGACGGATCTGGTTCCCATCCGCGCCGGACTTATCTCTGTCGACAGCCAAGCCCTCGCCAAGAATTCCCCTTCTCCAAGCAAGGAAGAGAGGATATGCTTCATGCCTTTCCTTCTAAGAGGTCTAGGCTTTCCTTTCCACCCCTTTCTATGGGGTCTATTAGAGTTCTACGGGATCCAGCTCCACAACCTCACCCCAGGGTCGATATTGCACATTTCTGGTTTTGTGGCCCTCTATGAGATATTCTTGAGTTGCGAGGCCCACTTCGATTTGTGGAGGAAGTACTTTTGTCTCGTCCCCCGCTCCCAAGGAGGGTCCATATTTGAAGTGGGCGAAGCCGAAGCATGGTGCATAGTCGGGACAGGATATCCCATCAGAACCGCACGAAAAGATCTCGAGGAATGAACCTTAGAGTGGTTTTATATCGAAGATGTTCTCCTCGCTGACCCAATTCGCGACGGCTACCCCGATACTCAAGCGTCCCACCGGTGAAGCGGTTCAACTGTCGGCCTAAAGCCCCTCCAAACCGGACAGCGAAGAGGTGCGCTTGTTAGCTGCCAAAGTCAGGCTGCTAACTCATAGCAAGCTGTCCATGATGGAAGTGATGGCCATCGCCATAACTAGGTGCGTACAACCCCTTCAGCAAAGGGGACCCCCTTATGGTGCAACAATGGTACCAGCGATGCAACCCGCTCTAAGCGACTAGGTCCGGACAATAAGGCGGCCCTAGCAAAAATACAACCGACCTCTACAAAGGAGAAGAGGCGGATTTCTCCCAAATGAGTATCCGAGAGGGTTGCTCCGGCTAGAATCCGGCAGATTGGGTAAGCCGCAGTCCATTACACTAAGTTCGAAGATTACGTCCGAACTCTGACTGATTGTATCCTTTCTGGGACAGGGTTGGAGGCGCCAGATCGAGTCCGTCCATTGCCCCTCTCCTCAACTATAAGATTATGCCCGCGACGACGATCCGGTGTATCATGATCACCCGGAAACGTTGATCAATTTTGAAGACGGGGTGTTTTACCAAGAGAGCCTTGATAACAAAGTTGCTTTGACAGCCGACCATCCTGGGGCTCTTCCCTCCTCCAAAGTAAGTGAAAAGAGGATCCGCTCTCGAACAAGGCACTCATCTCGCGCCATCCCGAATGTGCTAACTTCCACTCCCAAGGGTCTTTGTACTACGCACCGAACAGGCGCAGGAGGAGTACGGAACGTGCCCCCCTTCGGCCCCTAGCGGGGTATCCAAGAGGAAGGCTTCCGCCGAAGCAGAAACCGCCACTCCCTCGGGCCAGAGGTAACGTGTTTGGAATCACGGTAGGTGTCGCTTCCTGATACCCTTTCTCTGAAGTTTGATTGCCTTTCCAGAATAAAAATACCGTCGCATCAGTTCAAAGACTCCCCGAGCATGCCAGTGCGTGGTTCCGGTCCTGGGTCTTCGACACAAGCTAGAGCCTCTGCCAACACGTGGCTACAGGCGCCCCTCCAGAGGATTCCGACGATGTTTTAGTTACCAACTCTGAAGTTGAGAGCGTGATGAATCACCGCCACCGGAGGGAAACTTTACGTCACATTGCTTTTGCCAACCAGGAATTCAATGCATTTAATTTGGTGGATGCATACCTTGGAGCAGCCCGAACTGGTCTTGAAGGGATCGCCAGCCTTTTTGCCGCCAAAGTGTAGGTATATGATATAATCAGCTTAAAAGTAGATCGTAGCCTCTAACCTAGTAGCCCCAAGCCTTAAATTGGGCGAGACGGACGAGTTAAGGATCATACTTACTATGATTTGTACAAGCAGCGAGAGAGCAAAACAACAAGCTATCTGAGGACCTTGAGCTAAGCCGGACATAGTTGCTCAGTACGAAAGCCGAATTGGATGCAGCCAAGGAAACCAGCAAATTTTCTGCTAAGTAGAAAGGCTGTTTGCAATGCTTAGAAAAGTATGTGGTGTGTTCTGTGTATTTACACCATGTTTTCCCCATAGCTGTAGAATTTGTAAATCAGTGGCGAAAGGAATCGGAGGCTGGCAAATGAGTGCTGACGCGAAGTCATGAGGAGAAGAATGAGCTGAAGGCGGAAAATCAGCGGAAAGCCGAAGAAATTGAGAGTTTGAAATCTCAGTTGGCGCAAGCCTTGGAGGAAAACCAGAAACTAAGAGGTGGCACATTTGGTAAGTGTTGAACTTGCCATATCATTAGCATGTAATACCGACATGGTAATGATGATATGCGACACCTATTGTTTAGGTCTCCTGACTGGGCGGCCCGAGGAAGAGGTCAGTT